CTTATTGGGCTCATTTTGAACACCTTTTCTCTACTTAGTAATTTTAGGGAAATGCCTGAAAACCTAAGCTACTAACTTATTGGTTTGAACCAAATTAAACATAAGGTAAACCTAGGCCTATGTTTCATCATCAATAAACAAGATTTTGTAGGTCTAGATTATAAAGGTTCACACCCTTGACCTTACAACTAATGCTGTCCTAGCCTAACCATTTTTGTTAGCACTGTGTTGACAAAGACATTTTGTAAGAATGTTTACTTATTTACACTGAAAGTATTCCAGCTAGGTTTAATTTTTTTTCACCCTCTTAAGGAACTAAGCTTGGCCTATGTCTGGAGCGACCAAGCAAGTGAAACTATAGGCCTAGGCCTAACTTAAGTTAGCCTAAGTAACACTTTTGGTAATTGTATCGATAACGGACATCTTGCTAAAATTATATTTTTTCACTATTCTTATGCTTAATAACGTCCTGAATTCTAAAATGATTGTAATTTTCCCCGGAAAAGCGGAAAATTTGAAAAACTACATTTTTGCGGAAATTGGTCGAGGGTAAGACTCACTCAAATTAACCGGTAGAGTGAGCTGAACAAGAATATGCAGGAATTGAAGATCCGATGGATATTAACGGAGATACGGCCGAAAAGTGCCGCTTCCTCGGAAAAACAACATTTTTGCGGAGGCATCATAAGGGTACTCAAATTTACCAGGAAAGTGAGCTGAAAAAGAATAACTTATGCAAGAATTTTAAAGATCCGATGGATAGGCCTATTAACGGAAAAACAACATTTTTGCGGAAACGGGTCATAAGGGTACTCAAACTAACCGGTGAGTGAGCTGAAAAAGAATATGCAAGAATTTTTAAGATCCAATATATATTAACAGAGATACGGCCGGAATCTCAAGCGTCAGGAAATCGAGTGCCGAAATGGCCAATAATAGGTAGAAGGTTAGTTTGGGTTAGGTCAGATAAGGTTAGGTTAGATTATATTATATTAGGCTAGGTTAGAAGTAAGGTTCCTAATAGGTTAGGCCTAGGTTATGTTGGGTTAGGTTAAAAAGTTAGATTATATTATTTATATTAATATAATCTAAAAATTAAATAAAATAATTTTTTGTTGTTTTTCCGGGAAAACTGAACTTTTCCGGCCTTATCTCCATTAATATCAATCGGATCTTGTAAATTCTTGCATATTATTGATCAGCTCACTCTACCGGTTAATTTGAGTAGCCTCATGACCCGTTTCCGCTAAAATGTTATTTTTCCGCTTTTCCGGGAAAACGGTGCTTTTCTGGGAAAATTACAATCATTTTTGAATTCAGGAGGTTATTTAGCAAAAGAATAGTGAAAAAAATATAATATTAGCGAAACGTTCATGATCGATATAATTAGGCCTACCACACTTTTCTTCTTAATTTGTTAGTCAATGAAATCTAATCTATTACAGTCTGATTCTAAATACTTATACCGCTAAGATTGCTGAATATGGAAAATCTAATAGGTTCTCACGGTTGAACCTCTATTACAGTAACCGTCACCCTTGGAACTGGGATTGCGACGGTTTAGTGAATGGATAGATAATTAACATAAATCCTGTTAACTTATAAACCTGTAACTTAGGCTTCAGTACGGTAGCCTAAGTTGATTGAAAAGGTTTTGGTTTTTATGGCAATAAAAAAATTCTGATTAAACGTGTTGTGATGTTTTCCGGACAACTACTGTAGTAGGCTATAATGGATACAGCTATATGGATTACATGACTTAAGAAAGCTATGTACTTACTGCACAGGAAAGGGAATGTGTTTAATGGACTATATTGCAGAAGCGTTTCAATAGCTTCTCTGTTTCAGTTAAAAGTGAATTCAGCCATGGATTCAGATTCACCAGCTGAATCAGATTCAAGCCTAAAACATGTCTAAATGACAATATTTTTAGATGTTAGGCCTACTCTGGCAGTTAAAACCTTGGAATTAAAAAAGTCTTTGGTTTAATCAAATTATCTGAAGTGTTGACTACCAAAATAGGTACTTTGTCCCAGGTCGTCTTGGATTAGCTTCAACTGATTCTAATGTTAATTGTATTAAGCAACAGTTAAATTAAATTGTATTTTTTCGGGTTACAGCCACAATTTTTTTATAAGAATGAGATAGATTCAAAGTTATTGGTTTACCATGGTGGGTTTATGGGTTTTTTTTAGTAGGCTGTCTTTCAAGGTGATGGGCTATTCAACCCTCCGAATGTTAAGCGTCGCGTAATCGACTCACAACACCCCCGCCGTGGTGTTATGCGTCGCTTTTGCGACACACAAACATAGTTTACAGCGAAGGCTCTGGGACTGACGAATCAGATTGAACTGAATCGAGATTGGTATCGTTGTTTTCGGCAGATTCTGAGCTTTCTCCTGATGTCTGTTTCTAGACGCTTTTCATTTTAGTTCCGAAAATATTGTAGCAGACAGCTGACGTGCGTATTTGTAAACAACTTGGTTAACCTCGCACCGATGACTGATGTGTTTTATTACGTTTATCATTGTTTTAGTGTTAAAAATCAAAAGTAGTGATATACGTGGCGCATTATAAGAAGATATAAGTGATTTTGAAGGACTGGTTGATGATCCTGAAGAAGAAGGTAGTGATATTGATGTAGATTATCAGCCAGATTCCTAGCTATGGTTAGGCTATGCATTCTTAGCTAAACGCTATGTACTAAATCTGTTTTTTGCCCATAACTTATTTATTTGCAAACCTACTTCCTTATATTATTATATTTTTGGAATCCTCATAACATTTTGGACAAAGTGGCTATTTAAAAATATTGGTAGACCTATAAATTATAACAATTTATCGAGCGCAAACATAATTTTTTTTTCATTTATTTTAAAATTTTTGAGAAATAATTACCCCAAAAAAATTGTTGAACATTTTTTTTTTAAATGTTTTATATGTTACATTGAAGCCCATAATTTTCCAAACAAAATTATATATAAAACAGTATACTTTACATTGTTTTTAAAATTCTAAGATACATTTTAATAAAACCCTGCGATTGCACAATAAATGGGCGGACATTAAGACCAAAACTATGGACACTTGGAGGGTTAACATTAGCCTAATTATTTATTGTTAAGATTATTCTAAGGTTTTTAATAATTGGTGATACTAAGATACTGACTATTCCGTTTAAAATAGAACATTTATCATTAAATGATAAATGATAAATGCAGGTCAAGGTCAAGGTTATTGCTTGACACATAAAAACCCTTATCTTGAACCTCTAAGATTAGGTTTAAAGAATATCTTTAAACATTTCTTGATCCCTGCAGTTTAAACTTTCTTAATTATTTTTTGATATTTAAATCTCAATGTTATTTGTAGAAGTTAAAATTGGCTAGGTTAGTATTTAAATACCTGGTTTCGTCTTTGCTTCATTTATTAGGCTAATAATTCATCATGTTTTTATATTTATGATATTAACCTGAAATGAATTAGATATTCATAGGTCAGTTTCACTACTGTACTTCAACAGTGTTTTTATGTTTTTAATTCGATTCAAAACCTATATATTCACATATTAAAATACATTAGGCCTACATTGTGGATGTTGTCAGGAAAAATCAAACGATTCAATATTAACATAAAAACCGTACAATATTACTAATGACAATTATATTGATCAGCAGCTAAAGAAAAATAACTGAGTAACTAATCTTTGTGAACCACTAAATGTTTTTTCCTTCTGTTATTTTTTTTTATAAGTGCATTTCCAACTAAATGTGATTTTCAAACTTAAGAATGTGTTTAATAGGCCTGTAATTCATATTAAACCTTGATAGGTAAATGCCACCAGCGATGACATCGATAAAAAAATCTTAAAACGCATTCTTATACCAGTTTGTGTTGCTAATAAACCTTTCATGCTTAGTTATAATGTTTATGAATTTGCAAATTTTCTCGGTTTTAGTGTCGATGTTTAGAAGATATACAATTTCTTACATGAAGAACAATTTTGAAATATATAGACTGTGGAATATCGTTGTACCTAAGTGAGTAATGCTATGTACCAGTTGGACTTGTGTGCTTTTTATTTGAATAAAAACGTAACTTTTAGTTATATCGTAATTTGTTCCTCTATTCATGAGCAAATGTTATTTTTACTGGCCGCTTAAGAAAACGAAATACTCGATAGGGCCTACTTGCTTATACCTTTAACCCTCAAAAACATTATCACTTAAAACACATAATACTTTTAGTCAGTCCACTTCAAGTCTGCAAAGTACAATTGTCTCTAGATAATCCGACAGGTAACAGGCCAGGATGAAGTCGGATCATACTGAAAACAGTGGATGGTTGAGATTAGTTTTTCTCAAATGCATTTGATCAAGATGACCAATTTTCTACTGCAGTACTAATAACTATTGCATTTGTCACAATAAAACTTGCTGAAGTTATCAAAAGGTACGAAACAGTAACCTACATTTAAATTGTTGAAACTTGGCTTCAAAATGACGGTGCGTATAGTACGAGGGAGAGGGATACATATCGCTTTAGGCTTGTTTTGTTTCCGCAGATAAGACTGTCGACTACTGGATTTTAAAGTGCCACATTATCGATTGACAACTGTAGTACATCTATGGAGTACATTATAAAAGGGCTACATCTAATCAGCAAATTATTTGTTAAAAAGAAATATTAGCATTAATCTAATATTTTATGACAAATCATTTGTCGGCTATTCCAATTGTGTTTGAATGTGTACAGGAATGGCATACATAATACATAGCTAATTCTAAAGCTCCGTAAAAAATACTCACTTTTATAAAGCCATGATTTATATCAATCAAATAAATACTTACTATAACAAAATGCTATAAACTAACTAATATTTAGCTCCAACCTCACACCAGGTTGGTGTAGAATGGAACGTGTTTTGAAAGTTATAAACAGCCTGGCAGTGGAGGAGTATTATTTTCGTCTAGTGTGTCTCCGAGAGGGCCGAAGCCCAATGCTCCTGACTGTTATTCACAAGGTCATTTCAATCACTAAGCCTTTACTCAAAGGCTCTCGTGTGGTCACTTCTCATTCTTTTGTTGTTTTCAGCTACAGAATGGTTTGGACTGAAAAAGTTGAAGATGCACAGGTAAACTGTGTGACGGTTAATTGTTTCCGGCACCTTGTTATATTTTTTGTTTGCACCTGTGTTGCACATAACTTGCACTTAATTGATTAGTTTTCACCTGACACTATTATCTTTCGCTCACTCGCACATTTTTTTATTTTATCTTGTTGCACTATTGTACAACTGTACCACTATTGTCTATTTATAATTTATTCCTTGGTATATTAACAACAGTAATACATAATTACTTTTTTGAAATTTTGTTGTGTTTTATTTTGGAGTTTGAAAGCTTCTAAATATTACTCAGGCTCCCCTTTTGTTATCATAGTTCACTTTTTACACAGGTATGCCCATATCTCAAACTAGATTTTTTATACCGGTACTCATTGTTTCAGGATGTATAGTTATTCCAGATGTTTCCTCTCATTTCCATAAGTAGCTTGGTGTAGTTTTGTTTCACTCTGATATCAACTCATAACAGTAATATTCTTGTTTTTTGCATTTATAGCTCGAGTTGCATCGTATATTATGTCATAAGCCGAACATCAGACTTAAGACAAATCAAAATGTTTGTAAAATTTGTTGAAACAATGTATATAGACTGGAAATGATTTTTCACTGAGAGGTTTTTTTACAGAAAAGCACGGAAAGGCCCAGACAACTTTGAAACAAATTTGACTTATACTAGTATGAATAGAAAATAACAGAATATCTTTTGGGCTAGTAGGGCTTGCTATGTCTCTCCCTTTAATAAATAAAAAATATGCAACTATTTAATAATTTATATAACTTATAACAACATTATCAATTTCAAAACAAGCAATAAAACATTTTATAAATTGTTTAGTCTCTGGGTACTGCTGTAAAGTTAAAGTGGTTAATATTCCTGTATGCAGTAATCTTTATTTACTGTGGTGGTAACGACCTTCAATTAAAGATATTATGTTTGACTCCTTGCATGACCTGAAGATGGTCTGTCTTGGGGTCCAAAACTAGTTGCCTCCACTGTAGCCTTACCAACGGCAAGGATTACTCTTACGGAGGTATTTGAACCATTTTCAGATTCAAAATTGACAGTTTTTCTAAAATGTTTCTTATTTGTAATACAAAGTTATACTTTTTTAGTTTATTTACACTTATAATTTATTTGGGGTACTGTAAGTCAAATATGCAGTTAATACATCCTAAGTTGAACTCTTACGAAAAAATCTCTCTAAAAAAAAAATTCTCTTGAAAATAATGTTTTGAAGAAAAAATTCATATTTGTATATAAAGCAAATACTATTTTCCACACTACATCACTTACAAATATTTAAATTTCTAGTTCCTGGAAAATTTTTTTAGAACAGAATAAATTACTAAATTAGGTACCAATTACATCTAATAGCTCTAACTGTTGATGTTTCACTTAACTTCCACCTAAATTATTTTCATCTTCAACACAATAATGCTCAAATTCCATTGGGATATGTTAAAAAATTAACATCATAGAACATTTGTGAAAAAAATGATTAACACGCTTAGTGGAGTTTTTAAGCTTTACAGGTTTAAAAAATATAATATTTTGTAGTATACTAATTACTGAATCATTGTTAAGTTTATTTTTTGTTTAACATTAAAAATATTGGTGTAGAACATAAACAATGGCATAACATGGCAACTTGTATCCCCTTCTAGTGTTTATCCTTGATGTTAGATTGTTGTTCAAGCTTGTTATGATAAGATATCTGTGGAGTGTAGTTTTATCTATACCAGCAAAAACATACAGACTTACCCAACAGGATGGTCTTTGCACATACTGTAGTAAGATATATTGTTCTAAACTGTTAAGATCTTTAGATTCTTTAGCTTTTCGGTAAAATTGTGTGTATTGAGTTTAGCATGGATTGACAATTTGTGAATGACTAAAAATTCAAATAAAATACTGTTTTTCAACATTAATGAATCACTTGTTCATCCTTATAGTTTATTTTACTCAAGATTGTACAAATTATTAAATAAAAATGATTTCATTTTGACTTGCTAGGAACTGTTTCTAACATCGTTCAGCTAAGCGTGTTGTGTCCATTAAGTTTTTTTTTTTTCGAGTCAAAAACGTTTTTTGTATCAAGAGGTAATGGAACGGATTACATTCAAGAATTTTTTTGCTTTTATAAGTAGGCCCTAACTTATTATTGTGATCTTATCATGTACAGAACTATAAATAGTTTTAGCTTAATTTTTACAATTTATAAGTGGTGTTTAAAAGTACGAGTGTAAGGAAAGAGCATCCAGAGATAAGATCATAAGTTAGCCTAATTTCAGTCATAAATGATATTCTAAAATTATTTTTCCTTGTTTGTCCTTTAGATGGACTCAAAAGGCTCAAGCGTACCCATGAGCCAGCTCCAGGCCGCAGGAGCTGCCTCTTACCTCGACCACATGTGCGCCTTGGACATCGACTCCAAGGCATCCTACATTCGACTCTCCGGAATCATTTGTACCATTGGTAAGTAGGCCAACATACTAAACTTACCTTACCTTGCTTAATTGGCCATTAAAACCTCAATAGGGATTTGATCTCGACACCAATGCCTCTATAATTTCCTGTCTTCTGATGATTGAAGTTTAGTGCCCAGTCAATCAATGACTTGTGAACTTTTCCTTTCATCTCCATGGTCTGCCAAGTAGCCTTCTTTCATCCAGGTTTACCAGGTAGCCGATCATGATTTTGGAATGTTCTTCTCTTACGTTCCTCGCACCCATATTTACAGATTTTTGCCATTACGGTACACCCTGTCTCAATCAGTCTGAACGGAACTTGACCTATGTTGTTGGACAACCATGTAAAATAATGTTGAAATAAAATGAATTACTAACACAATGTTAATGTAAAACCTAGCTTCAAATATCAATGTTTGCTTCTGCATTTTTGGCTTTTATAATACCATGTACCTAGTAGCAAGATTGTTCCAGTGACTAATTTATCATACTGTAGAATGATTATTTGTCTCTTCTAAACCACAGTACTGCACATTTTACTCTTGAAAAATAAGGAATACTGTACATTGTTAGAAAAGATACACGAATTTCAACTTTGATCATGCGGATTAACATTAGTTTTTGTACTACTCACATATATCATTGAAATAAAAGTCATTTACATTAAATACAATTGTTTACAAAATTTATGATGGATAATCACTTTTTTTAAACTTTCAATTCGTTAGGTTCATAAAAACTACACCTGCACGGAAATGAATAATTTTATGACGGTGATAAGGACAAGTGTGGAAGTCTCTAGATTCCTTAAACAAGTTGCTTAAAACCAGTTTTAAATTCATAAACCCCTATTTCTGCCTGGTTAGAGGTGTTTAGTTCAAACAACCGTTGACCCAGAAACAATTAAGAAGGGTTCATCGTACCACAATGTCTGGGTTTGTATACAAATTGACTTTAAGTTCTAAGTTCTATCTAATTCTCCGTCAATCCTAATCTCTAAGATTAAGCCGAGGATTTTTTTTTCCATAGAAGGCTACTTGTTCTACATAATTTGATTATCAAAGGTAAAAAACAGTCATATATATATAAATACAGAGTGAGTCTTATTGTGAATTTGTACAGATCGAAATGTCTAGGTTAAGATAAAATGATATTATAAATCCAAAACAAAGATGAGTGTTTCAATTCAAAGGTTGTCAGAAGAGCAGTTTAATAAAACATCTTGTATTTCAGGACCTGCGTCAGTTTATCCAGGCAGATTGGAGCAGATGATTGAAACTGGAATGAACATTGCTCGGCTGAACTTCTCGCACGGGACTCATGCTTACCACTCAAGTGTGGTTAGACAAATCAGAGAAGCTGTGACCAGCTACAGTTCTAAGATTGGAATGACGTACCCACTTGCTATAGCGCTTGACACTAAGGGACCCGAGATCAGGACTGGTTTGTTGGCTGGGGTGAGTTGGACATGCACTACTTTATATTTGAAAGATTTTAAACGTTGGTTTTTAAAGATAATTTCCACTTAAGCGACTAAGAAAGAAAGGTGTGTAAAAGTTATGATTTTGTTACAGTTTTGCACTTTTACTAGTTATAAAAACGAATCTACTAGGGTTCATGTAGTAGAAATTCGGAATTAAAATTCTCATCGATCCACGCAACATTTCCTCAACAAAGCTACAGTAGAAAATAGAGTTTTAGTCACTAGCGCATTCTGTGACTGGCTCACACAACTACGTTATTTTTTAATAAAAAGTTGGCTACAGCTGGTTTGTATAGATTGGACGTCTACTTCAGTATCTAATAGTCAATGCTAGAACTTAACAGGCTAGAACTTAGTTTAACAAATTTCCAGAGCCCCTTTTCTTTCCAACCTATGTTAAAGTTAATGGTTTAACAGTGAATCATTTCAACAAATAACTTCAAGGCCTATATTTGGTATATATTATTTTTATTTGAATGTGTTTGGTTGTCAAAGTGTTATTTGTATAAATAAGCCTGAGTTTTCCTAATCCCTTAATATAACCAACCTACCTTGAAATAAGGATATTTAGTTTTTAAAATAAAACAATTAAGTACCCTAGCCTAATTCTAAAATGAGGTGATTTTGGTTAGGAATCGGTACCGGAACCGACATTGAAAAAGTAGTACCGACCCATCACTAATAAAAAGTTTCTCATCAGTAGATTGTGATTATGTCCAAAATGCCTTCCTTCACTAGCAATATGAATGTTTGCATGGGAAATTAATGGTTTATGAAAGATTTTAATAATGTATTTATAGAAATTCCATTTTGAGTTGTTATGGTACTACTACGATCAGTTTCACATGCATTTGTTTTTGTTCTTGCGATATGGTATCAGTGAGTTAATGAGTCGTATTTTAGCGAATTTCCCTATAGGGAAGTAGCTATTACCGTAGGTCTCATGGTAAGACCTAGGCCTGGGACCGATTTACTTTTTCATTTTGATGTCCTAAGAGGCCAAAAACACCATTTGTTCAAATTTGTATATATGTATATATATATAGATATATATATATATATATACATGTGTACCCCTATTTCAGAGAGATATAATGAGAGATGATATGCGTCCGTCCGAACAATAACTTCGGTAATTTTTGTCTGATTTCGATGAAATTTGGTTTGAAGGTTGTAAGGCGGGATAAACTTGAATGAGTTCGCGAACCAGCATGATCGGACCTTGGGAACTTGGTTTAACGGGGGGTTTTATGGGGTAAAAATTGGTTTTTCTCATTTTTGACACTCAAAACAAAAAATTTCCCAATTTCTCTATAGACCCTCTTAAAGAGCTAAAAAAACAAATAATTGCTTGTATCTAAGTGTTTTTGTACGGTTATTGGTTACGGAGAAAACTCAAAAAAATTCATTTTAAATTCCCATGTTATTTTTATGGAGAATATTGTAAAATGTTGTAGTTTGCTAGTTTATGGATATATTTTGATCAAACTTGGCAAATTTATTGATTTTATACTAAGCTATAATTATTTTACTTAAAAACACACTTTTTTAGTTTTCTTGTAGCAGCAAACCTAGGTACTCGTTAAACCTAAAATGTTATAAGAATAGATTTATTGAAAATCAACTTAGGCAAATGGAAATTCGCTTAGACGGCAGGTTTGCTGCGGCGGAGGTATTTTATTTACCTTTAGTTTACGGTTCATTTTCATTTTATTAAGTGTTATTTTTGGAATCAATTGAATGATAGTTTTTGATATATAAAAAAATGTATTGAGTTAAAACTTAAAATATGAAATGAATCAACAGGGGCCCTCTGCTGAAGTGGAGCTAAAGAAGGGGCAGTTGATTACCATAACAGCTGAGTCTGTATACAAGGAAAAATCCACAGAACAAAATTTGTGGATTGACTACAAAAACCTCAGCGATGTGGTAAACGTCGGAAACAGAATTTTCATTGATGATGGATTGATCTCCTTAGTTGTAACGCATGTTGGTAAGTTACCTTACTCAGACTACTCACTCAGTTACTTTTAGACTAGTTTTAACTTAACTGAGATACAAGTGTACAACCTCAAAAGTAAAATCTGCTTTTTATTGATTGATTGATTAAAAGAGTATTTTTAGACTAATTTCAACTTAACTGAGATACAAGTGTGCAACCTCAAAAGTAAAATCAGCTTTATATTGATTGATTAAAAGAGTATGAGTGATGAAAAGCTAACAATGACTTGGATACCCGTTTGGGTTTATGAATTATATACCTACTGTAAAATATAAGTAAATGGCCAATTTACTTTATTAACAACATATTTGGATGTTTTGGGAAATATCTTGGGCCCCAAAATTTATCAAATATGTGTATATTAATCTTTACTGAATTATTTTGTACAAGATATGTTATAATTGGTACAGCAATTTAAATGTAGACAATTCCATGTACGTTATAGACAAAATTATGCACATACACTTGGGAACACTCTTCTTGCTAAAAAAAAACTTATTTGATTACATTCCAGAATTTATTAAATATTTAGATTTTAAATTTCCTAAATAGTTTTGTGACATGATCTAAACATCCAAATCCTGCTTTAAACCATATAGCCCAGTCAATAAAGACAAATATATAGCCGATGTCGAAACAAACTAGCGACAGGCAAAACTATATACCAATCGTTAGTACCCAACTAGATATACATTTTCCCAAAAGTCCCGAAAAATCCCCCCGGTGCTTTCCCCCCCACCCCCCCTCAAAGTCAAAATTGCAGTGTTTTACTAAAACACGTCTAGTTTACGTACGAGTTGTCTAATTCGGTTAAATAATAGCTTGTTGTCTTTAGAATTAAATTTCCTACAAAAAATATTATATACATGATTACCGTAAATCTAACAGTTTTTCCGTAATTTTAGTGTAATTGATGAAATTGTAAAAATATTGACACTGTTATTTTGGATTTTCTACTGTATTTGGTTTATTTTTGAGAAATTCAAAAAAAATTTGTATATAGGTTGTAGAGCGTTTTCTAACGAACACATACATATATATAAGTCCAGGATTCTGATGTAAATGCGGGCGGTAGTGTAGCCTAAATAGACAATAGTCGGAGCGCTCGGCGGGCGACCCTGCAGAGCCGCGCCAACGCGACCGTAGAGTATTTATATATAAGTAGATAGTAATGTGCCGATCCCAAACCAAAAAAGGAAGACTTCAATAATTTAATGAAATTTGTTGTTTTCAATACTAATATGTTAAATTTTTGCCTCTTTTAGGCCAATTTAATTTTAAAATATATAATTGAATAGTTTGTAAAAATTATACAAATTTAACTAAAACAGTTTCTTTATCTTTGAATGTTTTAATTTCAGTAATAATTAAGTTTAAATATTTTTTATTTAATTCTTTAATTGTTTTTCATCAAAAATACCAATAAATCTATGAGGCAAATGAACTTTACATTTTTCCAATTCAACAATAATCGTTGGTCCATATTTATCTTTAACTTTTTCAAATTTTTTTATTTTATATTTTGTATTCAATTCTAAACTTTTTAATGGTTTATATTCTTTGAATTTACATTCTCCAATATTATTAATCTCTTCTAGTAGATCCATTAATAAAAAAAAATAATTATAAAAATCTTATACGGTTAATAATTGAAATATATGAAAAGAATTTGAAATATCACACACCAGTTTGTTAGAACTGGTTATAGATGTCGTAATTTTAATAACTTTACAATTATTGAAAATTGTATAGGATGTAATATATGTAAAAGAATTATTTCTGAAAAAAGATTAATAGACGAAAGAATAAGAACAAACATCTTATAAATATTTTAAGAGAATTTAATCATTTTCAACCATATCGTACACAACAATTAATCAATGAAATCTATACATTATGTATTTTAGACAATAGTTTTGAAATAACACCTAAAAATATAAAATTGTTCTAAAAACAAAGAATTTATACAAACTGGATATTTTACTATCAATTCTTAAACAAAATATTCAATATTGATTTTGAATCAAGTTTTGAAGATAAAAGAAATATTTCAGTAATTTTTAATGCATATTTCAGTTTAACAAAAAGAAATATATCATTTAAGAAACTGTTAGCAATGATTTTTAAGCTTTTAGATATGGATCTTTATATAAAACCAGATTTTGATGATATTTTTTTAAAATTCTTAAAACATTTATCAACCATAAGTGATCCATGCATAATAAATCAACATAATGGTTTTTCTGATAACATAAGTGATACATCAGATATTATTAAAAAAATAAAATATTCATCTATCACACAACAGTTCTAACAAACTGGTGTGTGATATTTCAAATTCTTTTCATATATTTCAATTATTAACCGTATAAGATTTTTATAATAATTATTTTTTTTATATAATAAATGGATCTACTAGAAGAGATTAAGAATTTGAAAAAAGTAAAAGATAAATATTGACCAACAATTATTGTTGAATTGGAAAAATGTAAAGTCCATTTGCCTCATAGATTTATTGGTATTTTTGATGAAAAAACAATTAAAGAATTAAATAAAAAATATTTAAACTTAATTATTACTGAAATTAAAACATTCAAAGATAATAGTTAAATTTGTATCATTTTTACAAACTATTCAATTATATATTTTAAAATTTTACTCGTTTTTAAAAACATTTTGTTTTGTAGTCAATTTTATGGAAAATATAGACATATTCATGAAAATTTCATCAAAATTGTATACTTTTTCTAGAAAAATATAAAAATGTTAGAAATTGGCCTAAAAGAGGCAAAAATTTAACATATAAGTATTGAAAACAACAAATTTCATTAAATTATTGAAGTCTACCTTTTTTGGTTTGGGATCGGCACATTACTATCTACTTATATATAAATACTCTACGGTCGCGTTGGCGCGGCTCTGCAGGGTCGCCCGCCGAGCGCTCCGACTATTGTCTATTTAGGCTACACTACCGCCCGCATTTACATCAGAATCCTGGACTTATATATATGTATGTGTTCGTTAGAAAACGCTCTACAACCTATATACAAACTTTTTTTGAATTTCTCAAAAATAAACCAAATACAGTAGAAAATCCAAAATAACAGTGTCAATATTTTTACAATTTCATCAATTACACTAAAATTACGGAAAAACTGTTAGATTTATGGTAATCATGTATATAATATTTTTTGTAGGAAATTTAATTCTAAAGACAACAAGCTATTATTTAACCGAATTAGACAACTCGTACGTAAACTAGACGTGTTTTAGTAAAACACTGCAATTTTGACTTTGAGGGGGGTGGGGGGGAAAGCACCGGGGGGATTTTTCGGGACTTTTGGGAAAATGTATATCTAGTTGGGTACTAACGATTGGTATATAGTTTTGCCTGTCGCTAATTTGTTTCGACACAAAACCTTTATTGACTGGGCTAATAATAATCATCTTAAGTCAACAAGTGGTGGTCTGGCTCATTTTGCTGATGAAAACATCAAGTTTTTTTATTTAGAAACTATGGTTTCTTTACAATCAAGGCACTTAAACTTACTCATGTCTGTGTTAACAGCTGTACAATAGTGGCAAGGAAAATAAATGTTATTTGACTTACCTTTTAAACATTGTGTACCTTTTACAGGATTTGACTACGTAAAATGTGAAATTGAAAACGGAGGTATGTTGGGAAGCAGGAAGGGGGTGAACCTTCCGGGTATCGCGGTTGATCTTCCTGCAGTTTCCGAGAAGGACAAAGAGGATCTTAAGTTCGGTGTGAAAGAAGGAGTAGATATGATATTTGCATCATTCATCCGAGACGCTAAAGCTATCACAGAGATCAGACAAATCCTGGGTTTGTACTATTCTCTGTTTGTGTGTTGTAGAGATAAATTATAATATATTTCATTGTGCATAAAAAAGTTGTTCTCGAATTTGGTTGCCGTTTACCACATACAAACCTTGAATCATCGTCTGAATACTATCCTACTTTGAACAAATTTAAATCTTTAATGTAGCAATAGACACATGCTTGAACTTCTGGTTTTCCGGGGGGCAGTCTTCCGGCGACCCATTCCTCTTATCCATCCAGAACATGCAAGTTCTATATGCATAACTGTATATAATTTTACTATGAAATCAGTGTTAATATAATAATACAAATATATTGTGATTTACACCTGAATAAAAGATTAAAAAATTAACTAGACATTGTGTTTTGGCCACTTCAAAACCTTAAAGAGGTTTCTAAAGTTAATATTTTTAATATTACAGGAGCAGAAGGCAAGAATATAAAAATCATTGCCAAGATCGAGAACCACCAGGGCTGGCAGAATCTTGATGAAATCATCGAAGCTGCAGATGGAATCATGGTAGCTCGTGGAGACCTGGGTATCGAAATCCCCCCAGAAAAAGTGTTTTTGGCCCAGAAGGCCATGATTGCTCGATGTAACAAGAAAGGCAAGCCAGTGATTTGCGCCACCCAGATGTTGGAGTCTATGATCCACAAGCCCCGTCCCACACGTGCCGAGGGCTCGGACGTAGCCAACGCTATCCTAGACGGAGCTGACTGTGTTATGTTGTCTGGAGAGACAGCTAAGGGAGACTACCCTCTAGAATGTGTGGCTACCATGGCTAACATCTGCAAGGAGGCAGAAGCTGCCATCTGGCATAAGCAACTCTTCGTTGACCTCACTTCTAAGGTAACTCACAACCATAGTAATCAATGACTTAAGTATAGTTGATGCGCAAAAATGTAACTGAGCTTCATATTTACAATATATCAACCATCGAAAGACTATCTATGCGAGTATAACCATAGAGAAGTAAGGATCAGAAAAGGCATTTAATGGTACACTAAGTGGTGTCTAGCACTTGTCGCACTTGGGCAAAGTCCAACACCGCTCCCCTTGCTGTGGAGGAAGACCTTGTGCCTTGTGCGATAGGCATCTCCGCACAGTGTTCACCACTCGGGCTCTTCTTTGCTCAAGTATATTTCCAACACACCATACTAGAGCAGAAAGCGCACAGTTATCTCATAAGAAAGTTTCCTCTGTACCTTGCTATTCTTGGCCTTTTTTTTACAATTGCACTTGATCCCCTTATATCTGGCCTTGATTTTACAGGTTCTTTGGTTTACCCGGCCACCTAAAGGAAGCCAATATTAAAATGCCTTTCTTACGGCTTACAGAGGCTAAGTTGCAAGCACTAGTCTTCGCAACTTTAGGGTTCTGACGATTTATCCGTTTGCTTATACCTTACTCTAGGCTACTCAATTGGGTTATTAGGCCTATCCTCTGGTTGATTATTTTCAGTGTAGTTGGTGGAGTACAGAAACTGTTTAGTTTGTAAAAAAGAAAACAATGGATAAGAAAGTTTAGCAGAAATTTACGTTCTATTAAGGCCTAATGATCTTCATGGCCAATTTATTAGGAGTCATTTATACATCCATAATTATTTAGTATTAGTTTATGTTATCTGAAATCATAATCTTTTAATGTTCATTACTTTACAATTTTAACCAATAAATAAATTTTCTGTCTGTTTTACAAACATGTATATTTTTCAAAAAAATAATCCCCAAAGAGATTTAAACACTGCTTTTGACATTTATCGATTTATTAGGTATAAGTTATCGTTTTTACAATAGATCGGTTTAACTGGCCAACTCATTAACAGGTCAGGGCTGGGTTTACTGTGATAGGTACAAAATAAATTAAATAATAGACTTTATATTGGATGCGACCACAATTCTAGGAATTTGATTTTCAATTTTATAATTCTGTTCTAGATTTGAAAGTCCTAGATTTGACCATCACTAATGTCTGTGGTAACAACCATGAACATTTAACGGATTAAACAAATTATTAATAAATGTACAATGAATCAAATTATGCCAACAAAAATATTTGTTAAATTTTTTTCTTTAATTAATTAGAATTAATTTAGGTTCATTGAATGTAGCATATTAATAACATAGTTTTTTACTCTAAGTTTTGATCTCTTGTTAAGTTCTTTAAAATCTGGAAAACCATAAATTTTATTTCAGTGGCTTGCTTGACTTTTACTAATGTGGTATTTCAGGTGGTTGAGCCTCTAGAAGCGACACACACAATCGCCATCGCTGCCGTAGAAGCAGCCAACAAGTGCCAAGCTGCAGCCATCATAGTGATCACCACAACGGGCCGCACTGCGCATCTTATCTCCAAGTACAGGCCGCGTTGCCCAATCATCGCTGTCACTCGTCACGAGCAAATTGCACGCCAATGCCACCTATACCGTGCCATTCTGCCCCTCATCTACTCAGGTAAATAACCATAGGTGGATTAGCTAGATGGATATCTGATTTCTGGAACAATGACAAGTGTTGTCTTATTGCTTTTTCTCAAAGATTGGCTAGCCTGTCGCCTCCATTAGGAAGGCAGTGCTGAAACAGTTTAGTGCCTTGGATTTAGCCCTTTGAAGAACAATTATTATCTATGTAAATAGGCCTGCCTTTTTGTCACTTTTTAAATCACCATTATACGATACATTCAACAAATTCCGTGTCTGATGGCTTGTAGCAAACTTAAATCAGCCAAGAAATGTTGTCTGAACAAAGACAATAGGGTTTTATGGGGTTAAAAATTGGGTTTCACATTTTTAACTTTCAAAACATATGATAAAATGTTGCAGTTTCTAAATCATTTTGGAATGGCTTAAAATAATAATAATAATTTATAGTTCGGCCGCTTAGATAGCGACCTGCGCGCTAAGCTAATGCTAACCAATGCTAGAGGAGGTCGCTATCTAAGCAGCCGAACTATAAGTACATTGAAGCATTCTTGCAAACTTAGACCCACACACAGTATATACAGTATATACTTCAAGAATATATAAATTTTAAATTCCCATACATTTTTATGAAGAATAAGTAAACTGTTGTAGTTTACTTTTTTGTGGTTATTTGATCAAATTTGGCAAATTTATTTATAACTGATTAAGCTATTGAAATTTCAATAAAAACACACTTTTTTATCTTCTCAGTAGCAGAAAACCTAAGTACTGTTAAACCAAGTGTTATAAAAATAGATGATGAATCTGGAATGTGTAATGGAAATATTTTAATAAAAATTCAATCAGGCAAATGAAAACTCACTTAGTCTCTAGGTTTGCTGCAGCGGATTTATTTGTTATCCTCGTATTATTCTAATCTACATAGCAAGATAAGTAGAACAATTTTACTTATTTAAAAGCAAACAAATTTATACTCTTGTTTTAACAGACAAATCAAATATACCAAAACAACATTTGAATTTGAATTACACGTATAACTTATTGTTCAACATTAAACATTAGGCCTAATCCCAATTATACACCTTCTAGTACCCTATCATGTTAGGCTACAGATTAGTCAGGTATCAAACACAAATAACTGATACATAACTGTACAAATACCTGCCATGACGAAACTATTTTAAAACTGTTTTATTACATTAGGTGACTGCAACATTAACAGTAATGTACGGCGATAATATTATTTGTAATCAAACATTTATTGCAAATCGTAACATGGTCTGTACATCAGAATGGTTGTCGTTTACATGACGTATGATGTTAGTTGGATACAAAAAGGCATGAAGAATCGTCTTGGTGGTCCATAACACAAATTCCTGGGTAGACTCTCTGGTACACTGGAAAACAATCAACCGCTGTATTTGTAAATATCTTGCATATCTATTACCCTCTGTATAAACTATATTCTAAGACAGATATTACAGTACTGAACTGTTTAACCTCTATTAACCATACTGGGACTATGAACGGGTAACTGAATTAACGGGAAACAGAAATAAATAACTACCGTTTGGAAAATTATAGTGAACGTTGATGGAAATAACTCAGTGTAGGCTACTCATGAATTTAATAATTATTTACATTACTCGAATGCGAATATTCCGTGTATGCCACGGAAACCACATGTTCTGTTTCTATCGTGTGATTCTTAGTAAATGTTAAAAAACTGTGACACGGTAAAATCTGTAGCAAAAATAGCAAAGTTTACATTTTTGAGGTGACAGATAACCTAAATGAAAGGTCAAAAGACGGTTTATCAAGTCTCTACTGTATCTATTAGGGTTGTCCGTAAATTAAGGTCTCCATCAAGCTCCTGTTAAATCAGAGGCCAACTCTGTTTTCCTTGCTTCATTCACTACTATTTAAGCTGGTCCCCTATGAACTGATTAGTCTCGTCATAGTATTGGAAAACGTGAAAGAAAAATGACACTTCCGCCAAGTCAGGCTGGTTTTGTTCATTGAGCCCAAAGCTGAGACTGGCTTAACACATTCTCACTACTCTGACAGTCGTACAACAGACACCAGACTTGCTGTGTAAGGTATTAATCTTCATGTGACACAATGTACTTTAGACGATAGTGGGAGAGCAAAAATGATCTGATTTTGATGAAATTTGGTACAAACGTGTAAACCTACATTTATTCAAACGAGTTTGCGAACCAGCATGGGACTATGGGAACGGGGTTTTATATGGGGTTTTATGGGGTAAAAATAGGTTTTTCCTATTTTTGTCCCTAAAAACACAAAATTTTACAATTTACTTCCAAACCATTTTGTAGAGCTTAAAAAAAAATAATTTAGTACATTGAAGCGTTGTTGTGCACCTAATGGTTACAGAGAAAACTCCAAAAAATTGTAAATTAAAAATTACCATGTTATTCTTATGGAGAATAAGTCAACTGTTTTATTTTGCTTGTTTATGAACATATTTTGATCGAATTTGGAAAATACTTTCATTTCTTACTAAACTACTAACATTTTACAAAAAAATACTTTTACCCTCCTTGTTGCAGCAAACCTAAGTACTCGTTAAACTAATTCTATTTAAATAGGAAATAAATGTGATATTTTAATGGAGGCATTTTAGTGTAAATCCAATCAGGTTAATGGAAATTTGCTTAGTCTGCAGGTTTGCTGCGGCGGGGGTATTTGAACTTTGTATCGTTTGATAGAGAATTTAAAATGCTAAATAAGTGTTCTAGGTATTTTTTCCTAAAATTAGCAGTTTTTGAGTAATTTGATTTAAAAAAATTTAAATTGCCGCCATTTTGAAATTTTAAGTTAAATCAAGTTGATTTTTTTTCTAACATGGGGCTCTTTTACCTTAACCTATATAGGCCTACCAAGTTTTATAAAGATGGCTTAAAAAAATCCTAAAAAAAAAGTTTATGTAAAATACAAAATGGCGAATATCAGGTTAACGAAGCGATTTTGGAAAAATTTTGATTCTTAATTTTCTCTTTATTTTGACCCATAGAACCATTTCCCGGAGTTTGGCTGTTTACTTACGGGATACCCTGTAAATGCCCTGAATCATTATCTAGATCTGAAATTATAAAACTTTTCTTCTCTTGTCTTTCGGATTACTTAAAAATTGTAAATGAATGATACTCACAAAATCCTGGTCCGTCGCATATGGTAGCCTCTAGCTCACATTCGTTATTGAACGTCCTAAACATCATATCAGGGTAGTCGTCTTCCTCACATGGGTTGAATCCACAGACAGGTTGGTACTGGTTGGAACAGGATCGTGGACAAGGATTGGTTCCACTCTCCGCAATGACTGAAATTATATCAATGAATTTTCTTTTTAAAAGTCACATTTTATTATGACAAAGTTTTAAAAATAAAAGTGTTTGTCATTTATCTAGTAACTAAGTAATAATGTAATGATTTGCCACTAGTTGACTAAATAAATAATTACTAAATGAGATTTTCACAATACCTGTCAAGAAGTAACAACCTTGTTACAAGTTTCAGTGAGATGCCATCGTCAAACACTTGTCTGCTCCTGCTAGCGAAGCGACAATGTTGCATTTCCGTGATCTTTTTCCAAAAATTATTTATTTTGTGTGTCTGAAAGTGTTTGCTAATCAAGCTGATTTAATGTATTCCCTGGACTGAAGTGTTTGAGAATGGCATCTCGCCGAAACATGTAACATGATAATTGTTACTTTTGGAACTACTTGACAGGAATTATTGTAAAATACCCATTTAGTCACAATGACTTATAATTAATAGTTAGTGTGGTCTGAGGTTAAAAAGCTATGTAGGCTGTGTAAAATAAAATACTAATACCATAATTTTTAGTGCAACCTTGATTATACAGGGCAGAAAAACCAGGTAGCAGTTAATTCAGGGTCAAGGATGCACATGATCTTTTTTTATTAAACCTAATAAAAGAATACTGTAAGCTATAGACACACGATTTTGAGTAAAGTTACTCAAATTGTTCATGCTTAAATTGTTAAGCCGGTCATAAGAATGTAGCATAGAATGTTTTTAATTTTTGTTTCGATGAGGAACCAAAAAGTCCAAGGGAATGTTCGTGTAATGCAATATAGAACTTATATGTTGTTCGACGGTTTTCGAGATATGCATGTGGGCCAAAATTTGTTACAAAATAATTTTAGTGGTTAGGATACTGAATTAACTCGCAATTTAATTTTAAATTTGCTGTTTAAAGGAAATAGAACAATTTAAATGTATTTAGATTTTAAGGCTATTTATTTTGACATGTAAAAAATAAAATGTTACCAACATAAATAAAGCAATCATTGATCATGATAGATATAAAATTCACTACTAAATACTTGTGTGAAGTTGCTCACAATTTAGCTTCTAACTATAGGCCTTCCAGACAGAACAGGCCTTCCTTGTCAGACTTCCAACATACCTTTTCTAATAGCACATTGACACCCTTTGCTTAAGTTGAGGGTAGGACTCGATATCACTGTTTGTGACAGTAACAATACGAGACAACATTCTGCCAGCATCGTTATGTCTAATCACTATCAAGTTACCAGTTGTGACGCAAGATATGTCTCAACTGTTTGTATTTGATAAGGCCCTAACTTATATGTTATCAACTCCATCAGTGAATAGGAATGGTATTTTTTTTTTAAATGCAAAATTCTCTGTTATCTCAAGAGCTATTACGTTTCAGTGAGATGCTGATCATTATTTACAAAATTACAACAACAATAAATAAATAAAATAAAAATACAGTAAAGTTCCAATAGTCCGAAATGGTTGGAGCTGGATCCATTTTGGATTACCAAATATTTGCAGATACCATTTTTTTTACTTTTTTAAAAACAATTTTTGTTCTAGGACGCTAGGCATGAGCCCACGATTGTTTTTCACATTACTTTAGGATAGACCTAGGTTGCGGCATTATCACCTAGATAAAATCCATTGGTGATTTGGCAGGATTGAAATCTGGGACGAAAATGAAAAATGTTTACTAAGAATATGGCAAAATATTTACTAAAATACTCTATACAACAAGTCTATCTCGCCCGGCCGCTACAGAATACTTCAACGAGGTACAGCTAACTGTCGTTACGCACAGTTTTGGCTTTCCCCATTCCCCAATGGGTATCGGCTCATAACTTTTTGTGTCTACAATAAACTGCACTAATGTCGTCACGTTACGGTGCTAGTATTTTCAACTTTCGAGTATAAGTGACAGCACATACTGGTAAAAAAAAAATTTAATAAAAATTTTTTTTTAATTAGAACAAAATTATTTTTTGGTTTCGGATTAAGCGGACCGAAGTTCAGATTATCGGGACTCCACTATAATAAGTTTAATGAGTTTTCAATGAAAATAAGCTTAACAATAGAAAAAACCCGGTTCTGTCAAACCTATTCATTAGGCAACTAAATTGAAAAAAGATCCCTTATATCAAGACTTTGCAATTATTTGTTAGAAAGATAATAATTTTTAGTTGAGAAGAATGAAACAAACAAAGGAGACCAAAACTAGACGAGGAACAAAAATAATTTCAGATTACCACATCTCAAGTTGACAATATTCAGGAACAGCTCTCAATATGTGGGACTAAGATTGTTCAACAAATTAACCTTGTACCTAAAAAAAGTCAATGTTACAAAATTCAAAGATCAGATGAAAAATAGGATGATTGATAAATCATACTATTCACTGGGAGAATGTTTGTATAGCCCCTTTAAGTGTAGTTCAAAACGCTTGAATGATACCCTATTACAGTTTATTTTAACAATATCACTATGGCAAAACATCTGTTCTTATATATGAATTGTGCATTTTACAGAATGTTTTGTGTAAATAGAATATGTCTATGTCTATTACCAATCTTATCACCACCCTTAACTGTAAATAGCAGAGACAATGCCTTGAATGGTTAGTAATTCTTATCATGAGCGGCCATACCATCCAACATCTGAAATGCCAAAATTAATAGGAATTATAATTTTAAAACCAATCCCAATTTGATTACAACATTGTAAGGCATGTTGTTACAGATAATTCGTCACACAAAACGTTAGACATATTCGATTATAGCCGTTTAAGATAAAACTACACGTGATGTTGCACAGTATTACTGTAACCTGTTTACACTACAGATAATTCGTCACACAAAACGTTAGATATCTTTGGTTATAGCCGTTTAGTTAAGATAGAACTACACTTGATGTCGCACAGTATTTACCTGTTTACACTACAGATAATTCGTCACTCAAAACGTTAGATACCTCCGATTATAATCGTTCAGTTAATAATTTAAAACCACATCATACATAACACACAGTAAATATGACTACAACAGCTAAATGGTTTCCTCCTATGGGTGAGGATAAGAGATACGGTAGATTCCTTTGAATGTAATTATTGTTCAATCAAGTTCAATAAATAATTACATGTAAAAGTATCGAATTATGTGAGAGGCAAAATGTCAATGTATGTCTGCAATGATGTTTACTCTCGATCAGTACTAAATGTACTGAACAATATACTGAAGAATAAATATACTGAACAATTAGCGCAAGCACGTTTTACGTTAAGCTGTCTTCATCAGAATATTCAATGAAACTTTATCTTGTACTAGACTTGAACGAATGGTACGACAAATGTCTATTTGTCAAAGCAAGGTGATGTCTACCTTATACAGAGTCGTCGTACTTGGTCCTCGGAGACCCGTGCTTGGTTGACAGTCGTCTGTCTCGTGCCCTCGTAGTGGGTATGATCGACTCCCTGACTCGACTGTCTCGAAGAGCTGCGTATGGTGCAACGGCCGGGGACGACGCTTGTGTGCAGGTCCAGTTGGGCATGCGCAGAGCGCCCGGCGCTGTGCGAATGGAAGCCGCCGACTCAAACGTTGTGGGATTTACAAATTTACATTTGTGATATTGCATTGGAGCTAAATCGGCTATTTGCAATCGAAAAATCCCATGGCAAAATTTAACATGTTACACCGGCAGATGTAACCTAAAATAGTCAAAACAAACTTTATGATGGAATTTAAAGACAATATTATAGAGTGAGTTTTTTTTTCTTTATTCGTAAAGGTTTTGGTTAACCTTTCTCTGTTAAGTTTGAGTGAATTTACCTAAATTGACTATCCTATTTAGATAGACTTATAAATCTTAGAGCAACAAAATTAACACATTAAACACATTAAAAAAAGTTTATTAAAACAAATATATTAATCAGTAATATTTGTCTTAGTGGTTGTGTCATAGGTTTTGAGTAACAATATTTTTGGTTTCAGGCGATTTGAATCCCGATTGGGTGAAAGACGTGGACTTCCGAGTACAGTTTGGTCTCAGATTCGGCAGGACCCGTAACTTCATCAAGACCGGAGACCCAGTGATTGTCGTGACTGGATGGAAGCAGGGTTCTGGCTTCACCAACACCGTCCGCATCGTGTATGTACCTCGGGACCTCAGCGAGGCCTCCGTTATCAGAGGCTCTTTCTAAACACACCTCACTCGCACATTCACCTGTCCACTAGTTATTTATTTGTTTAATTGTTTGTTTTCATGTATAGAATACAGGGATGAGAATTTTATTATTTGATTAGACTAAGGATAAGAAGTAGATTTAGGTAAATTTGTTTTCATCAAATTAAAAAGACAGAAAAAGGAGGACAGCAGCTAGCTTGCCTTGAAAGTGTTTTTTTTTTATTCAGTTGAGGTTTACTTGCAATAACAAAACATAACGAATGTACAGTAATTATTAAAAATCCATACATTATGCATTTAAAACCATCAAAACATGCTATTAAAAAAAATGCTTACTATATTCACAGTCAAATCCACTTGTCACTTCATGTCACACAAAACTCCTCATGTCACTGACACTCCAATACTGTATACACAGCCAGCCCTACATAATGTTCAGGCCCACTTTTATAAACGGGCAGACTGGGCAAATGTATCTAAAAATTGATCAGTTTTCTTTTCTTTAGATTAGAGTGAATGCTTTCAATGTTTACTACAAGTTCATTGTTTTGCTAAGAGGTGTTTTCTACTACATTTTAAACAGCTCCCAACTGATGCACAACCATTCCTTATTTTAACTTTGTCTATATTGCTAGACAAGAGAGGTGCTTGTTCAGAATGTTTTGATTTTTCCATAGGCATCATATGTTCCATATCATCCTTTTTAGTTATTCCTGAATGATTTTGTTCTTATTCTGTTTGTTGTAAAATGTTAACCGTCAGAAGAAGTATTAGGGGAAGGGGAAAGGTAGAAAAATTCCTCTAATTAGATCTAATTCCTCTAAAGAGGTTGTCAGTCGAGATTAATTACGAAGATACTACGATAGACTCAAAGAAATCTGACATCGATGATCAATCTCCAGCCAAGAGATCCAAGAATACAAAATTGATTGAAAAAGGTGTGGAAGACCAAGCAGAAAAAGCTGTAAGTGATGTTTCAAAGCAGAAACCCATCAGAAGATGTATTTTCATTTTTCCCAGATGATGTTACCTTTCCCCTTCCCCTACTACTTCTTCTGACGGTTAACATTTTTACGATAGAAAGCTCTTTAGATTGTGTATTAGTTAATTTTGAGTTCAACTTTTTTTTGTTTTTTTATCTAGTTTTAGTTGGTCGAGTTTTGTTTCCTTACTTTGTGCCAAATCCTTGCTTGGTACATCAACATTTACACTACCATTTGAGTCTGTATCATTCTTTTTAGAATGTAGTAGTGAAGCATCACTGTTTCTTATTGATCGTTCAGCTTCATTTGAAAGCGTTACTTGGTTTTCATTTTCAAGTATACGTTTTATAACTGATTTCCTTTTTGTTAAATTATTGCTTGATTTGTTTCATTCGTCACGTTTATTTTTGGAATGGAATGGATTGGACTTAAATGATTCTCTCTTGGAAGAAAACAAAAACAAACCATCTTCTAGCAGGATCCAAGTTATAGAAGACTCAGATGATTCAACAGATGATGAATTAGACTTCATTCCTCCATCTCAAACAGTTAAAGAGTTTGTGGATAAAAAACAGACAGCTTCCAAAAGTAAACATATTAATAATATATGTGAAGACATCTTTTCTATGGTTAACACTCAAGATCAAGAGATGCTTTTCATGACAGAAAACCTTGATTGTAATAAAATTGCTACTTTGCCTGATCACAATACACAAAACTTGTTCAGCTCAGAAATTCAACAACCACCAAAGATAGAGGATCAAAGTATATTTGAAGCAGAAACACAAGGATGTGTTGTGCATGAGGAAAACCGTTTGGAAATAAATCCTATAATCTCTACAGAAATATTTGATGCAGATACAGAAATGGTCACACCTCACATTGATGAAAGTTTACAAATGAGTGATTTAATTCTTTCTAACACATCTTCTGAATCGCTGGATAAGGGCCCTCAAATTAATTTGGTAAAATATATTAAATTTGAAAAATTAGAGGCTGAATCAGAAGGTAGAGCCGTTGAGACTGTTTCTAATCAAATTGATATTGATGATACAGCAACAACAAGTAGTGGTACTCAGGCAATATTGGCTGACATGTATACTGAAATTATTCAGGATGAAGTCAACACTTCTAAACATAGTAGGCCTAATGTAACGAATTTGGTACCTATTAGAAAGATGAAAAAACAGCAAATATTAATAGTTCAACGGACAATACTTATTATTCAAGTAAAACAGTTGAAATGGAAAGTATTTCCAATGCAAAATCTTCCTCTCCTAAAGTTCATAATGTTAATATTAAAGAGGAAACATAAGACATCAATGACATTGAAAATGATCACAGAAATAGTAAGATTTGTACAGAAAACGACACCTCAGAAATTGCAGATATGTTGCCTCAAATCAATTTTTCACTTAGCAAATCTCAGAAATCCAAAATTCCTTCTAAAGAATCAGCTAATAATGTAGAATTAGAGGATGATGATATCTATAATGCTTGCACACAAGTTAACACATCTTTACAAACCACTTCTATAGTAAATCCGGGTGTTAAACAAGAAATATGCACTAAATCAGAGCCAGTAGATGATGAAAATCTTTTAGAAGAAACACAACTGAATTTAAATCTCATAGAAAATCATATACCTGGCAAAAAACAGAGAATAAGTAGATGCAGGCATACCAAAGAAGCTAGTGACTATACAAACTTTGAATCAGAAGAAACCCATTAAAGAGGAAACATTAGACATCAATGACATTGAAAATGACCACAGAAATAGTAAGATTTGTACAGAAAACAACACCTCAGGAATTACAGATATGTTGACTCAAGTCAATTTTTCACTTAGCTAATCTCAGAAATCCAAAATTCCTTCTAAAGAATCAGCTAATAATGTAGAATTAGAGTATGATTATATCTATAATGCTTGCACACAAGTTTACACATCTTTACAAACCACTTCTATAGTAAATCCGGTTGTTAAACAAGAAATATGCACTAAATCAGAGCCAGTAGATGATGAAAATCTTTTAGAAGAAACACAACTGAATTTAAATCTCATAGAAAATCTTATACCTGGCAAAAAAACAGAGAATAAGTAGACGCAGGCATACCAAAGAAGCTAGTGACCATACAAACTTTGAATCAGAAGAAACCCAAGTTAATGTACAGAAAGAAAAGAAAAATGATAAACAAATCAAGCAATAATTTAACAAAAAAGAAAATGCTTTCAAATGAAGCTGAATGATCAACAAGAAACATTGTTGTTTCACTACTACATTCTAAGAAGAATGATACAGACTCAAATGGCAGTGTAAGTGTTCATGTACCAAGCAAGGATTTGGCAAAAGGTAAGGAAACAAAACTCGACCAACTAGAACTAGATAAAAAAAATGATAAGTTAAACTCAAAAGTAACTAATACACAATCTAAAGAGCTTTCTTAAGTAAAAATGTTAGCCGTCAGAAGAAGTAGTAGGGGAAGGGGAAAGGTTACATCATCTGTGAAAAATGAAAATACATCTTTTGTCTCAAATAATTAGCTAAAAAACCAGAATTTATGTCCAGAATTACCAGAATTTTCTTTCCAATTTATTATTTATTTTCTGGTCATTACTGATAGGTTTCTGCTTTGAAACATCACTTACAGCTTTTTCTGCTTGGTCTTCCACACCTTTTTCAATCAATTTTGTATTCTTAGATCTCTTGGCTGGAGATTGATCATCGATGTCTGACTTCTTTGAGTCTATCGTAGTATCTTCGTAATTAATCTCGACTGACAACCTCTTTAGAGGAATTAGATCTAATTAGAGGAATTTTTCTACCTTTCCCCTTCCCCTAATACTTCTTCTGATTCAAAGTTTGTATTGTCACTAGCTTCTTTGGTATGCCTGCGTCTACTTATTCTCTGTTTTTTTGCCAGGTATATGATTTTCTATGAGACTTAAATTCAGTTGTGTTTCTTCTACAAGATTTTCATCATCTACTGGCTCTGATTTAGTGCATATTTCTTGTTTAACACCCGGATTTACTATAGAAGTGGTTTGTAAAGATGTGTTAACTTGTGTGCAAGCATTATAGATATCATCATCCTCTAATTCTACATTATTAGCTAATTCTTTATATGGAATTTTGGATTTCTGAGATTTGCTAAGTTAAAATTTGACTTAAGTCAACATATCTGTAATTCCTGAGGTGTCGTTTTCTGTACAAATCTTACTATTTCTGTGGACATTTTCAATGTCATTAATGTCTAATGTTTCCTCTTTAATGGGTTTCTTCTGATTCAAAGTTTGTATGGTCACTAGCTTCTTTGGTATGCCTGCGTCTACTTATTCTCTGTTTTTTGCCAGGTATATGATTTTCTATGAGATTTAAATTCAGTTGTGTTTCTTCTAAAAGATTTTCATCATCTACTGGCTCTGATTTAGTGCATATTTCTTGTTTAACAACCGGATTTACTATAGAAGTGGTTTGTAAAGATGTGTTAACTTGTGTGCAAGCATTATAGATATCATCATCCTCTAATTCTACATTATTAGCTGATTCTTTAGAAGGAATTTTTGATTTCTGAGATTTGCTAAGTGAAAAATTGATTTGAGTCAACATATCTGTAATTTCTGAGGTGTCGTTTTCTGTACAAATCTTACTATTTCTGTGATCATTTTCAACGTCATTGATGTCTTATGTTTCCTATTTAATATTAACATTATGAACTTTAGGAGAGGAAGATTTTGCATTGGAAATACTTTCCATTTCAACTGTTTTACTTGAATAATAAGTATTGTCCGTTGAACTATTGATATTTGCTGTTTTTTCATCTTTCTAATAGGTACCAAATTCGTTACATTAGGCCTACTATGTTTAGAAGTGTTGACTTCATCCTGAATAATTTCAGTATACATGTCAGCCAATATTGCCTGAGTACCACTACTTGTTGTTGCTGTATCATCAATATCAATTTGATTAGAAACAGTCTCAA